CAAATAAGTGATAAATAGGCGTACTATTTCATAATCTGACACGTTCATTTACAAAAAGAATGAGAGAAAAAAGTGAGAGTAGTGAGAGTTTGTACAACAAACATGACTTTAATTGAGTTTTATCCATGAACTATAAATCTAAAATGAATCTGAAAAAAGTCAATCATAACAACGTTAACATAACCAAAACAGAATCGGCTTAGTCTGACAACTAATACCGAGAAGAGAAATAAAAGAAATTGTATTAGCCAATGATAAAATTATATTTAAGAGGTAGAATCTCTTATTATATACAGATAATCTCTGATGGACGCTAATATTATATACAGCTTCTGAGATTCTAGAATCAAAGTGTAATTTTTTTTAGCACGATGTACGCAGTACACTCTGTTTTTTCGAGCAAAATGTAAATCAGAGTGTAAATCAAAAGTAGCATATGTACAGTACATTTTGCTTTTGCTTGGTACACCTGCTATTGGAAACTCTGTTTCCCACCATAACCCAGCTGAAGAGACCCTTGGGTAAGATCGAAACCGGTCCTGGGTTGCTCCGTTTGTTTTTAAAAAGTTTTCGAAAAATTCGAACTCTTTTACTCTTTTTGTACGAAAACAAACATTCGAAATCTATCGTTCGTCATGCTTAACGGCAAGATTGTCGTTTTTAGTTCAAAAATATTAACATTATCATACTACTATGTCTTGATTTTTTCCATCAATTGTAGCATCAGATGGAATAAATATTAGCCTCGATTTTGAGGCGAATGTACATCATCTTTCTCTTTTTTGTATGCAGCACATTCATTTATACTAAAACTTTGAAATAAGGAAGATGCCGCTTTTTTCATAATAAAATCAAACAAAGTGTTACACGAAGGAAAAACCTTTATTTATTCTTCTTTATTACTCTGCGTTACTTGAAGTAACCGATCGTTTGAAAGTTTACTTTTTTCGCCTGTTAATAACCAACAAGTAGTCTGTTTATGTATATATTTTGTATGTTGTATATTTTGATTAATTGTAACTTTAAAATAAGAATGTTCCATATGCGATTCGACTGTATTGAAGACTTTTATTCCAATGAAGTTTTGTTTTGTGGTATCTACTGAATCTTGAATATCGTCTTCATCAGAGTAATCATCATTAGAGGAAAAACTATCATTATTTTCATCATCCATGTTAAGATTATTTGTTGATTCGTCATCCTCATCATCAGCTATTTCAAACTCTCCATCATCCATATTGTTAAGTTGAGATGAGTAGTCGTACATCTTTGAATTCGAATTTAACTGTTTAAACACATATTCACTTAATAATTTTAAGCCCAGAACACGATTTTTTTCCAACAAATTCAATATTCTAAACCATCAAGCATTTCAATAGCTTTATGGTAAGCATCGGTAATAACTTGTTCGATATCTATTTGATCAATCTCAGTTTGACTTTGTGTTAATGATGATTGACGATCATTTCGATGTTTATAATGAACTGGAAAGACCAAATTATTGACTGATTCATCTAGTGGCGTATCCAGAGTAGGACTAGAGGGGGCTCAGTCCCCTCTAGAAGTTTCTCAGTCTCCTCTACAAACGGTTTACCTCTGCTTAGAAAAGGCTCGAGCCTCCTCCAGAACCTTTTCCTCGCCTAGCTATGGTCAAAATACTGAGAGGAATCAAAAAACAAAAAAAAAACACGTTTTCAAAAACTTGACTCCAGTTTTTGTAGCATCCAAATTCAGTTTTGCCAACGCCGTGTAGGTTAAAAATGATGGAGAATGCTATTGTCACACTATCGAGATCCTGAGGAGGTCTCCGGAGAGTGGAACGGGGTCTTTAGAGGGGGTTTGAAGGGGTTTTAAAGAAGGAAAACCGTGTATTTGGTGCCATCTTCGTTCAACTCTTTAGTTTGAGATACTTGACGGGACACTTGGCTTTGCACAGTTCAAAGAGATCTGGCATGTTGTCCCCTGTGATCCTGTTCTTGAAGTTTTCTGGTTCCTCGTCGCATCCCTCTTCAACCTCCATGTGATCTTTGTCGTCATCCTCTGATTCTTCGGCCGGCCATAGCTGTGCAATGGTGATATTTTATCCTCAACGCAGCCAAAATTCATCAATCATAAACTAGACTAATTTAGCACCAGTCCCCAGAAGTTTGCGAAATATTTTGAGAATTTTGCCAAGGAAAGCAGAATTTTGTGAAATATAACAGAATTTTGCAAGAATATTCTTAGAACTGTCACAGATTTGGCAGAATTTTGCCAAAACCGGCAGAATTTTGCGAAATCCTATCAGATTTTGCGAAATATTTTCAGAATTTTGCAAAGCAAAGCAGAATTTTGTGGAATATAACAGAATTTTGCAAGAATATTCTTAGAACTATCCAGATTTGGCAAAATTCTGTTATATTTCACAAAATTCTGCTTTGCTTTGCAAAATTCTGAAAATATTTCGCAAAACTCTGATAGGATTTCGCAAAATTCTGCTGGTTTTGGCAAAATTCTGCCAAATCTGTGACAGTTCTAAAAATATTCTTGCAAAATTCTGTTATATTTCTCAAAATTCTGCTTTGCTTGGCAAAATTCTGAAAATGCTTTGCAAAATTCTGATAGGATTTCGCAAACTTCCGGTGATGGTGAATTAGTTTAATTGATTATTGTTGAATTTTGGCTGCGTTGAGGATAAAATTTCACCATTGCACAGTTCGCTGGCTAATAGTCATGACAGTGATGAAAGAATGACTCAATAACTGCGCTGAAATAAATCAGAATTTTAAGTATGAAGACAGCCACATTTATGCCTTTTCCTCCCTCAGAACCCTTTAAAAAACCCTCTAAAGACCCCGTTCCACTCTCCGAAGACCTCCTCAGGATCTCGATAGTGTGACAATAGCATTCTCCATCATTTTTAACCTACACGGCGTTGGCAAAACTGAATTTGGAGCAAAAGTCGCGAAAAGAGTGAAAAAGGACTTGGCCGTTTAGCCATCGTGCTCAGTAAAAGTCGAATAACTCGAAAACGAGAAAAGATTTCCAAA